CAAATAATATCAGTCACATTTCAACAATATATTTAATTCAATTACAAATATCATATATAATTTATACATATTTTTTTAATAAAAAGGTCATTTCAATATTACCTTTTTCCATAGAAATTAAGAAAATTTTTTAGAATATGTTTTAGAAAAATTTATAAAAAAATAAAAAAATTGGCTTAAAATTTTAGTTTTCTATTATTGTAATACATTTTAATTAAATAACAAAATACATAAAATTAATTGTTTAAAATCAATTGCAAATTTCTAAATTTTAATTATTAATTATTTCAAAAGATCAAAATATTATGCAAATTTTATAAGGCAGCATAATTAACTATTAATTAACATCAAAAATATAAAAATTTTATAATATTAACAGCTATTAATTAAATTTAGGTTTGAAGAACTTTCAAAGATTGTATTATTGAAAATTTGTTCTCTTTTTCAAGAGTTTTGACCTTTTGCTCTCACTCCATATTTATTATCTTAATAGATTTTTGTTCAAATTTTCGTTCCAATTGCAAAAATTTGATTTTTAATTAACAATTACAAATTCGATATACATATATATTTACAAACATTTTTACAAATATTTATTGATTTTAACATTAAAAATTTATTTTTTGATTTAATTTTCTATATAGAAAGCACTAAATACAATTTTAATATCTATTATTTAATTGTACAGTGTAATTAAATTATATCAAATTGAAATGTCCTTTTTGTAGTGACCTTAAACGTAACACCAAATATAATTTCATTTTCTTTTAACTTTATTTTGATTTTCTGTATAATTTTCAATTCATTTTTTGTAATGAAGCCTATAACATTTTATTAAATAGAAAATAAAATAAGAAAAAAAAAAATTCAGAGCATAAGGTTCACTAGCCCCTTGTCAAACCCTTTTCAAAACGAAAAAGGAATTTTTATTTTCTTTAACTGAGAAAAAAAAATTTCAGTTGGTATTATTATATTATATAACTAACAATATATATATATATTTTTTAAATTTTAAGTAAAAAAAAAGGACTAGTTACTATAATGAACGCGAATCCTTTCATTTTTATTAGATTGATTTTCTTTTTCAAGAATTTTTTAAGCGTACAACTTTAGACAAGAATCAGACAATGTTAAAATTAACACAAAATAATAAAATATCTAATAACAAGCGAAAATATATGAAATAAACTGGTATGGAACTGGAAATGGTAATAAAAAAATTCGGAGTAAAAAATATGCTAAAATTTTAATTTATGAAAAAGAAGTGTTTAATCTTTTGTGTTAAACTTTTGTTAAAGAATTTAGTTTAAAATTCTTTAAGAAAAGTTTAAAGTGTTAAACTTTTACTTAAAGAATTTTGTAAATCAAGATAAATAAAACTTGGGTAAAGACTGGTTTTTCTTGGTCTTTCACTTCCTTTTTACACACACGCCTTTAATAACATATAAATGAAACTATTTCTAAAATTTTAATTGTTATGAATATTCTCTAATAATTGGAATAAAAAATTTTATAGACGTACATACAAAACTAAATATGAAGAACATTTTTTAAATTATCAATCGAAATTTGTAAAGTGTTAAGAGAGCCTTAATATTTGTTATTGTATAAAATGATTTAGCTTTAAAAAAAATGTTTAGAAAAAGGGTTAAAAAGTTTGAGTATAACAATTTTACTTTTTCTTCTTTTTTTTTCTTTAGCTCATTTTATGCCTACATCTTTTTTAATTGGTCCTTTTATTTTAACGTTATTTGTCTTTTTACATTAACGAATTAAATAAATTTTTTTTATTCAAAAAATAATTTCAGGAATTCTTTAAAAAGTTTATTATTCTTAATGTTATTCTGTTAAGTTATTTGTTTATAAAATATCTTATCGTATTATTAAAATTCGAAGAAAATTCTTATAAAAATATTTAAAAAATTTTTCTCTTTCATTTTGAAATATTTATGATTTCTAATAAATAATTATAGTTTATAAATTAAAAACTATGTACAAATATTTTAATAATCTATGTATTTTGATTTATTCGTATAAAATTTATTTTTAATTGGAAAAGGTAAATTATTTTTTGTTCTGAATTTTAAAAAATAAGTAATAACATAGATTTTTTTTTTGAAAAAGTACATAGTTTTAAATACAAGATAATTGAGAATTTCAATTAAATATAGAGAAAAGGAAAAATTACAATTTTCTACAATTAAAATTCAGAACAGAAACTAATTGAATACAAAAGTTAATTAAGAATTTTAAAATAGTAAAATTTTTTTTTTTAAATTAAAATAATTCTTCTTTTTTAATTCAAATTGCTTATTTATTCGATTCATATTTTTAATAAATCAAAAATAATTTAAATAAATTACATAAATATTTATTAGATTTTACATTAGAATTGAATATTAATATGAATATGAGAATTTTTATTTGAAAATTTGAAAAAAAAAAAATATTACATGAGTGAATCAAATTTTAAACTGAATCAAATAATCATATTAGTGGATCAAAAGTGAACCAAATAAAATTTAAAATTGCAAATTCTCTTTTTTATTAAATATCCCTTAAGCAACAATTATGTTATCAATAAAGAAATTTATAGGTTTCCTTTCTTATCTTGTTTCTTAATTTTAGAGTTAAAAAATTTGTCTATAATATTTTGAAACGAATTACAATAAAATTTTTAAAATATCAAATAATGAAAATATTTATAAATTATTATATGGTATGAGACAGCTTTTAAAACTACAAATTTATTTATTTGATTCATTTAGTATAATAATACTTATAAATCTATATAGGTATTTGTATTAATTTACATATTATTTTAAAATTTAAATTAAAATATAATAAAGAATATAATAAAGAAATTCTATTTTAAGTATTTTTTTTAATAAAAAATGTTTAAAATCGATTTAATTGATCTTTTGTAACATTTTTTAATGAGCCCTTAAATTATGTTACAAATGACATACAAAATTCATATGCTTTTAAATTTTTCGTAATAATTATTATATTAAATTAAGAATATAATTAGAATATAATATACATATATAGTTATATAATATATAAAAAGCAAAAATATTTTTAAAAATTGAAACGAATTATTTATTAAGTTAGTTATAAAGCAAAAATTAATAAATATTTCAATAAAATATTAGATATTAGTAATATTATATTATATAAGAATAAAATATTTAATTAAGTTTTTTTTTTTTTTAATTTAATTTAAAAAAAGAAAAAGAAATATTCTAATTTGTTTAGTTTTTTTAACATTTATGTAAAATTGAATAAAAATAAATGAATTCTTTTTAATTAAAATTATATTCTTTTTATTTCAAAATTTTTCTATATATTTATTCTCTAATTATAGAAATGTAAGACTGTGATATATCTGACATTTGGAAAACCACAATTGGATACGTTGTCTTTCAAATTGTTCTACTGATACAAAAAAATTTACGTTTGTATTCAGTTCGTTTTTACCAATATATACGATATGTTTATAACTGGTATATGCATATTCAGTACAGAAGCGAAAAACTAAAAATTCAGTTTCCAGCTAAATTTTAATGCTAACTGTCTTATACAAGTTTATAATCTGTCATCAGTCCTTTTTTGTGGTATATAAAAAATCAGTAAGTTTAAGTACAAAAAAGGGATTAAAACTCAATGCTTATGCACAATGGGCTTATGTATTTGTATAAAACATGTACTTAAAAATTGGAAAAATTCATTTAATTTTATTATAAGAGGCGAAATATTTCATAAATTAAGTAATTTTCTTTTTGTAAAAAAAATTTTGCTTGATTTATATTTTTTATTATTCTTATTACTTTTTAATACATTAACTCACTATACAATTTTTTAACTCTTTTGTAATGATCCACAAAAAAAACATTAATATATGAAAATAAGAATACTCTCAATCGAAAAATAAAATTCTTAAATTTCCATGGAAAAGAATAATATTAAAATTTTCACTTTTTGAAATTTTCCTTGCCCGCAGTAATGTATAATAAACTACACATGATAATATAATACATTTATTATATAGGTAATAAAGAAATTGCAAATAAAAAATATATAATAAGGTAAGTAGTGTAAATTTAAATATTATTAATGAATAATTTAAGTGTCTGGTTTTGGTTGCTTTTAAATAACAATAATATAATTTTTCTGTGGGAAAAATATGGAAATAAAAAAATTTTCTCTGTACTGACTAAATAAAATTATAAAGGCAACATTAATATCAAGATTTACTCAATTAAAAATGCATAATATAATTTTTAATAATACACAATAAAAATTGGTGTTATCCAATATTATTGTAATAAAATTTTTTAATTCTGTGTTATTCAACATTATTTCATTTAATAAATTTGATTTAAAAAGTATTTTCAGATAACTTTAACCAACATCCCACCACTTCTTATAATTAAGTTCAATTAATTTAAAAAAAAAAAATACCATTTTTCAGGTTTAAATAAATGAATAAACTCTCGAATATGAGATTAATTTGTGAGATATTTAAAAAAAATTATTAAAAGAAGAAATTCTCGAAAATTTTTCTTGTTCACTGTTAAATCTTTATGAATTCTGTTCTGTTGATTTTAGTTAACTGAATTTCATGTTTATATTTTCTATTCATTCTATTCATTTCTATCATACTATTAGTTATCATTTCTTAATATTGGGCTTTAAACTATTCCTTAAAAATTATTTCGAAAATTATTTTACCAATTTGTTATACAAATATATTATATTGTTTACTTAATAATATTTTTAATATTTGTGCAGTAACGAATTGGAAATTAAAAATTTTAAATTATGCAGAATTTGAAATCCTAACTTAGAAATAAAAAATAAACATTTTAATTTGAAAATTTTGTGTAATTGCAATAAAAATTCTATTAAAATTCAAATTTAATTTTAAGTATAATAATAAATTAATTATTATTAAATATTTTCTAAAATCATATTTAATTTTGATTTTCAAATTCTCTTTATAATATAAAATTCTTTTTAATGACATCACCACCAGTACCGCTACAATTTCCATCATTCTCATTATTATCATTTTTATTATCATTATTTTTGTTTTCATCATCTTCTTGTTGATCATTATAACAATGAATTTCAACATTTTCATTATTTAAAGTTTGTTTATGTGATTCTAAATCATTTGAACTTTTATTCTTCTCAATATCATCCTTGTAATAAAATTCTTTACGTTTTTTTATACCAACTTTTGGGAAAAGACTATCTTTATTTGATTTTGTTTCATTTGTAATTGATGTTGGTGTAGTATTTGAGGCTTGTTGATTAATATCACGTAAATTTTCATTGTTATTATTATTTTCATTATCATTTTCAATATTATTTCCCTGTTGATTATTAATTTCTTTTGTTAAAAAATTTGATGGTAAATCAACTGATGTTGTAACATTTGGATTTCCTTCAAATTCTTCCTGTTGTTGTAAAAGTGCTTTCAATTTGGTTGCCTGAAATTTATACTATAAAAAAAAAATAACAATAAGAAGATTATTATTCTATATATAGAAATTTTATTTATATAAATGACGATTAAATATAAATTTTCAGTTGAAACAAATACGGAATTTTTAAATATTAACTAAATTGAAATTAAATAATTGTGTAAATCTATTCAAATTTTATGCAATGAACATATACATTATTTTTTTTACTTAAAAATTTTAAGTTAGTGCATTGGTACAAAATTTTGTATAAAGAGTAATTTAGATCTAGATTTCATTTTTAAAAATCGCTATGGTTAAAAATCCATACGTTTTGTGTTTCTGATTTTAAAAGCCCAAAAATACGTATGCATATAAATTCAAAATATTTTACTAGTTCAAATAAGTGCTCTCTTAAATTTATATCTCATTAAGTTTTACGTAGCAAAACCAATAGCTTTACAAATTAAGTGTTTAAGCATGATTTCTCAATCAGAAGAAAATTATTGCATTTAAAACTATTTAAAGGGTTATAGCCGGCAGAAATAAGTTTTCCTAATGTTCAGGACATTTACAATGTTCAGCTTATATTACTTATTTTTTTAAATATAACATAAGCCCCAAGTAATTTTCATTTTCATTAGGTGCAAATTATTTTTACAATAGTAGGATTTTAATTTTTTATTCAACTTAATGCTAATATGTTTAATTGTTTTCATATGGAGAAAATTATATTTATATGATTTTATATGGAGAAAATAAACTTATTTAATTAAAAAAAAATATATATATTCTTTAATCACTTTTATATTAATTAAAAATAGTGACTTAACAATACAAGTACTATATAATATGAGAGCTTTATTATTTAATATTTAACTTTTCAAATACTTTAAATATATTTTTTCTAATATTAACAATTCATATTGTTTTCATTGTATTCAAGTGTCCATTTTTTATTAGTTTCTCTTTTTTAATATTTTTTATATAGCAATGTGCTTTAAATATCAATATAATTAAGTAAGGTTTAAATTGTGCTCTTAACATTAATTATATAAAATAAACTAGACATGTATATAATATTTTAAAAGGACATTAATATATTATAAAATAACAATAGAAAATTAATGGTTTATAAACCTTTAAATAAGCTCATAAACAATATACATATAGATATCAAGGATATTCAATTAAGTAATTTTTTTTTAATATTATTTTATATATAACATAATATACAATTACAAATATATACATATTGTTAGTAACGACAAAGTATTTTTTAAGTAGTTCTATTACATTATTTTTATAAATATTTTATATACACAAAGGATAATTAAAAAAAAAAGAGAAAATATTTTTTATGTTTTTAATGATTTTCCTTTGCTATTGTTTTAAAATTCAAGGACAATTGAAAATTTTACACTTATGTCTATAAAAGTATGTATACATACAATATATGTCAAATATATTTTATTGCTTTATTACAAAATTTAAAATACTTAATACTACATATACTACATAGTATTCTTTATGTACAAAATAAAGAATAGAGAATTATACAAGTGCTTAAATAATAAAATCATGAATTTTTATTTAAATATTTTGTTTGTTGGTCTTTTTAATATGAAATTATGCAAATAATAATTTAATTTACTGAAAACTGAACTCTTATTTTTACTTAGAACTACTATTAATATTAAAAAATTACTACTATTACTACTGTTACTACTATTACAACTACTGCTACTACTATGAATTTTAAGCAATTTAAATTATAATAATTTGATTCATTGAAATCCTTAAGGTTCTCTCAACTGACCATAAGATTCAAAATAATTTTGCTATAATTTATTCATTTTTATGAATTCTTTGAATTCCCGAATGCATAAATATGATTTTTAAATTTCATTATTTTTAAATTTAAATTTAATTTTTAACATAAAGTTTCTACATCAGATTATTGTTAATGAATTTAAGGATTGAATTGAGAGAATATGAGGAAATTACAATTCTTAAGAAATTTTTACAGATAATATACATGTGTATCATATATTTATTATTGCATAATTTAATTAAACACTAATATTTTACATAGCAAAATACAAATTTATTCTATTTTATCTTAATATGAATAAAAATTAGATTGAATTTTGCATACATACAAATTATAAAGAAATAAAATTTTTACATTTTTAAAATAAATTGCAAGTAAAAAACTAAAATATATTTTTATCTTCTTTGGTTTTATTAATCTCTATATTTCCTACAATCTTTGCCTATTCATTTACTTTAAAATTATTTTGAACAAAGTAAAAAAAATGATATCAAGAAAGTTCATGAAAAGTAAAATTATTTATTTGAAAACCTCAAAAGGATTAAAATTAAAATTTTGTAATTTTTATTTATTTCTAGATAATTCACAAAAAAAAAAAATATTAAATTTAAAAATGTCTTCAGATATTTGTGTATAATTTATATTGAAACTGAAAACTTAACACAAAATAACAAACCACATTTTGTAAATTTTCTAATTTTTCTGATTTAATTCAATTAATCCATAACATAGAGAAGAAACAATATGGTCTGGTCATAACTGATCACATTGTATTTTTTATGAATAATATGTATTTACAAATTCAATTAAATTGATTCTTATTAACTTAACGAAATGACTGTATGAAACTATGAAAGTCATCTTTTATATCCCAACTTATAAATTTTAAGATTAAGTAACCTTTTACGTAATATACCTCTAAAATATTATTAGTAGAAATTAATTTTCTCCGATTTCCTTGAGCAAATTCAAAGCTAATTTTGTTAGAAATCAATTTTTTAATAACAAAAAATGAAATTAACTATTTCCGAAAAAAATTTTATATACTCATACAAAATATTTTTTGAATGCAAAAAAATTAACATTCCATATGTATGCAATTTCCACCCGATCACGAAATTTTGTAACTGTATCGAGAAAGTAAAAATCAAAATTACTTTTAATTCAAATTTATATTTATGCATATAATATAATGTAATTATATACATACATTTATTAATTCTTAGTTATTGTGAGAATATGTAATAAATAATCTAAATGACGACCGTTTTTAATCGTATTAAAACATAGGATTAAATAAATTTATTAAAGAAATTTAAGGTATTGAGTAAATTTATGGAGCTTATAACAAACATACATTTTGTGCCGCATTAAAAACAATAATTTTAATTTTTAAAAATTCAACGTTAAGATTGTTAAAGGAAATTAATTAAATGGCAAGAAAATTCTTGTTTAAGCTGTTTGTAATAAACCGCTTAAGTGATTATAATAATTTTTTGGTTTTCTGTAATACCTATAATTTCGAAATATTGTATAATAATATTGTTAAAAGATAGCTTTATAGTTTAATTTTATCTTATTTAATAACTTATTTACATTTAATAAAATTTTGAGGTTTTTTCACAAAAATTTTTATATTTTCTAACTAATTATTACGTGTTATAATAATATATTTTTTTCTAAAATCATATTAATTATAATATAATTAAAAACTTTCTACTAAAAATTAAATTCTTAATTATTGCAAAAATGAAAAAAATATCTATTAATGTTTTCTATTGTAAAACAAACACAAGAATTCACGAACGAAAATCTATTATTTTAATTAAAATAAAAGCCAAAAATTATGAAAATCATTTTATGGATCACAAAAAATGTACAATATTAAAAATAAATACTTTGATTGCAGCCTTACATTATGGTCAATTGAAAATTGTATTCATTAATTTAAATTGTAAATAAAAATTAACCTACATTATAATATATTTACATATTTCAAATAATTGGAAAAAAACCACAATTGAAAAAAAAAACAATAAAGTTTTTATATTTTCATTTTAAATTGGTTATTCTAAAATAAGCATTAAAGTAATAAATAAGTTACCACATTATAGGTAATATAAAATTATTTACAATTTTCTCAAGTGCTTATAATAAATACATTTTAACTTTATATAATATTATTTTGCAGCATAAGCTTTTTAAGCACAAACTTGAATAAAATTATTGATTTAATAAAGACAATTTTATGAATCGGTTTGCAAAATTTTAAATAAGCTAAATTTAATAAATTTTATAAGCATTATATAATAAATACAAACACGAAATATTAAAATTCTATTAAAATTATAATGTCACATTTTTTTTTTTACTATGATGTATGTTCTAATTTACATAAACCTTTCTTCTGTTACATAAAATAAAATTGAAATAGCAAAATAAATTAAATGATCGAGCAAAAAAATTAACACTAACAAACTCTTTAAAAATTTCTTAAGAATTTCCTTAAAAATTTTACATTTTATTATCTGAAAACATTATTTTACAAACACAATAATATTATAAGTATAATTAACTGAAATAAGAATAAACTAAATAAAAATGTAATATAAAATAAAAAAAAGCAATAAAAACTAATCTATATACATAATATTACATTACTATTTACAATTATAATCTTAAACTTACATCATACCTCTGTTGGTAGAACGAAATCTTGAGCAACATCAACAAAATCATTAAAATATTTTATAGCTAATTCAATTCTTTCAGTTTCATAACAAAATGCAGAAAAATTTAATAAAATCAATGGATTTTTCATTCCATCTGGTAATGTTGCGGCACGTTCAAATGCAGTAAATGCATTCTCATAATCTTCAAGTTTTCTTAAGCATACTAAAAAGAAAATAAAAGAAAAATTAAAATTAAAGAGAAAAATTAAAATTAAAAAGAAAAATTAAAATAAATTCATAATATTAAAATCAAAGTTACATTTATATACATTTACATAAACATTGTAAGTAATAATATAATTTAGATAATCTAAATATATTAAATATTTTCACTTACAATGTAAAAATATATTCAAAGAAAATTTAATTTAAAATTTAAGAAAATCTAATATTACATTATTGTAACATGATGTCTTAATTTAATCTTTTAATATTATAATTAAATTGAAAACTATTAAAATTGAAAAATTTAATAGAAATTATAAAATTGAAAAATTATAGAAATTATAAAATTGAATTTTATAAATTCATTTTAAATCTATAGAATTCAAATGTTTAGAAGAAATATTCATATTCAATTCATATTGTAAATTGAACAGCAACATTATATTGTATAACATGGTTGTGATAAAAAGAATTACGATTTCAACTAAAGAAATATCAAATTTTAAAATTTGAAACTATATAATTTTGGGTGAGCCACTTATATTTTACCTCACTTCTATAGCTAAATTTGTAAAATTAGTTGCTGTATCATAAATTAAATAGTGCAGCAGCTATCAAATTTTATTTACTTACTTGCAAGTAACATGTAACTTTCTGCGCTATCTTTCCGTAAACTTAAAGCAGCTGCTAATGTATGAAAAGCACTTGCATATTGTCGAGCTGTAAAGGAATATGAAAAATTTTCCATTAAAAATAAATTTTATTTCAAAAATAGGTCTATAACTAAAATGCCTTTACACTAAAAAGGAAACTTTTATCATTTTGTAACTTAAAAAAATATTTTGTTTTCCGTGTATCCTTTAAAAAATTCTTCTATCCTTTTTTTAAAAATTTTAAAGAGAAATTTTTTGTTTTCAAAAAGAAAAGTTTAGTTTTTTTTTTTTAGGTCATATTATAGGGACACTTTCATTTTTTTCTTAAATTGTGATTTAATACTAAAATATTTAATAACATAATCAAAAAAATTCTACGAATTACAAGAGGATTTCTAAGAGATTTTTTCCCTTTGAGATTTCATAATATTTTTTTTAAAATACCAAGTAAACGGATTAAGTTTAATATACCTTACAGGAAATAAAACTACTCTACTCTTTTTTAATAGTATTTTTTAACAAGTTTTTAAAAGGAAGGGTTACATTTTCTGAATGATATGATATTGTAAATAACTGAATGATATGGAATGATAATATTGCTCAAATGTTACGATTTTAATAAATTTTTTTGTTTAATATCAGTTCAAGTTTACATGAAATTGAAAGTTACTAAATTTATACATAGAATTATCGTTTTTTCTCACTTTTATATCTAGAAATTTCTCAACATATTTGATGTATATTACCAACTATTCTAGCTAGACAATTATGCCTTAGTATTCCTTAGCTACACAATTTGCAATATAATATTTCTATGTCTTGTAGTTTAATTTTGAGATTTCAAAAAATTGTTGCAGTTACCAAGAAATCTTACCAGTTATAAATATTAAGCTCAAATTATAAAGAGCATTGTAATTTGTTGGTGAAATCCAAACTGATTTACGTAAACATGAAATTGCCTAAAAATATAAGAAATAATTAGAAATTATGATAATTAAATATAATAAAATTTAATTTAACTCTAATATTATATATAAAAATTAATTGTATTCGAAAGATTTCAAAATTAAGATTTAAAATGTTACTTTAAACGATTTAAAAAAAAAAATACTTAAACACAAAAACCTTAATATAAAAATTATTTTACATTTTTTCTATTAACAGTCTGAAAAGTTTTATGCTATTCTTAATAATTAAAAATTACTTATATATATATATAAAAAAAAACTTTTGTCACTTTTTTAATAAGTGGTTGATATCTAAAGGTACACCTTTAAAAAACAAAAGAACTTTTAAAAATTTTCTTTTACAAACTTTCAAATAAAAATTATAATGAAAATTAAATAATTCTAAAAGACAAAAGAACAAAAAAACCGAACAAAATAACAATAAAAAAGCAACTTATTATTTAAGATTTATTTAATATTCCCGCAATTTTTAATTGCATAAAATTTATAATCCCCCAGTTGGAGCTTAACTATATATATTTAGTATTTAAAGTATTCATTTGAGTTGTTTTCAATTAATTTAAACAGACACAGGAAATTCTTTTATTTTATATTCCTTGTTATTATTTTTTTTTATTTTATTATTTATAACACAATGAAATAAAATACATATAGATAAAGAATTTAATTGAATTGAGATCATCTAGAACTGAAGTGGAAATCCTTAAAACAAAATCAAAAAACAAAAAGAGAAAACTTTCTCTAAAAGTATATAAAATATTTTTTGTACATAAATTTCTACACTTGTATAGGAAAATATGCTTTTATAAAACTTTCTTAATTACATTTTAATTGAAAAATATATAAATTGTTATACAGCTATATGGTTATATATTATTTATAGGTAGGTAAGTACATAATTTCTTTTATTAAATTAAAAAAAAATGGCACAGCAATTTAAGTAAGAAACATTAAAGTAAAGGTGAAGAGGACAACAACAAAAAAAAAAAAAGGTATTTTAAATGAATAATGAAATTTTAAATAATTCTGAAAGATTACATGACAATTTAAGAAGAACGATAAAAAGTAAGTCTTAGGAGATAAACAATTTAAGAAAAATTTATTGTAATGTTGTGGAAAATTTTTTAACATAAAATTTCATTAATTTCATTAATGTAATTGCAATAAATTTTTTTTTTTCACAATAAACTTTGAGTTACAAAAATTAATTTGTAACTATTTTTAATTATTTTTAAGCTTCTCAAAATAAATGCATTTATTTAATCAAATTGGTTAAAAATAAAATTTTTAATAAAGTTTTACAAGGAATTAAAATTCTTTTTTTAAAGTTAATGCTAACGATAGACGATATCAATGCATATTCCTAATTTTTAATGAGATCGGTTGTACAATTTTAAGTTTGTAATATTTATTAAAATTATTCGTTTTAAATTCTGAATATTAATTATCCAAAAGTAATAAAATATTTGCAAATTCTTTTCTAATTGAATTAATCCTAATGTAATATGAATACAAATTAATATTAAAAATAGTTTTATATCAAATTTTACAATTTTTTTTATATTAATATATCTAAAATCTAGTATATATAGATACATAGTGCTTTGATAGTTCTCTTCTTACCACTATTAATTTATTCTTTTTGAAAAAACATAAACCAATATTATTCCATAATTCAGCACATTCATATTCTTCACCTGAAATTTTTGTGTATTTTGCCAAAGCACCACCAATATCATTACGAGACTGTAAAAGAAATATAGAAAAGGAATAAGTATTAAAATGAATAATGTTAATTAAATAATTAAATTCAATTAATTGAAATAAATCTGATTTCTTTTTAAGTTTTGAAAATTGTTTGAATATTGAAAAATTTATAAAAAACCGCTATATAAGTTCTAGAAAGTTGTTCCACTTTTTGAAAATCAAAGTGCTTTAATTTTAATATCAAGTACCGAAATGGTAATTTTTTCTGAATAGAAATAATTACTAGCGCAAGCTAAAATAAATTGGTAATATTTATTTCAAGTACAATTTCAAATTAAAAAATTAATATTTTTTTGAAAATATTTAACAACCCTTTAACAAGAAATAATTTACAACTTTTGTACAATTCATTTGAATATTAAAAAAATTACAAAATAGATGGATGAAAGTATTGAAAATCGAGTAGAAGAAAAAAACATTTCCATTTTATAAAAAGTATTAGTGGGTTTCTTTTTTCTTAACTTACTTGTAATATTGCACCAAATGCCAAAAGTCCTTTTGAAAATTTATCATTGATACTAGTAACTTCAATTAACTTATCAAAGGCCCTTTGTGGATCATTCACTTTTAAATATAAGACACCAATTTCTGTTAAAATCTCTTGATTCTCTGGTACAATTCTACAAATAAAACCGATTTAAAAAATAATTTTTTCCTTTTTTCTCAAAGAAAAATGAAAAAAATATTGAACCAAAAGTTCTTTAAAAATTTAAATTGAAAAAGATAAAAATACGAATCTCTTTCATTTTCTTAAGTTCCTCTTGTTACGTTAAATCTTTCTTGATTTTATTAAGAATTTTGTGCTTAAAATACCTTATTGACATATAAAAGCAAAAGAAATAGTGAAAATAATACTTACTGCAAACAGTTTTCAAGGATTTCAATTGCTTTATTATATTCTCTTTCATTTCTATAAATTTCTGCTAGTCTTTTATAACTTTCAAATTTTTTTCCAATTTGAATTGCTTTTTGATAATATTCTTTAACTTCATTCATAAGATTTGAATTATTTGAATCTAATGATGATAATTTTTTCCCTGATTCAAATTTCTGTTGTATATTCCATTGTAATATTTCAGCAATATAATGACATATTTCTGGATCTGGTCTACGTAATTGTGTTGACATTCTTTCAGCTTCTCTAAATACTCCCATTGATTGTTTAAAACGACCCATTGAATATCTAAAACAAAAAATTATATAAAAGAAAATTTAGTTGATATAAAAAATTAATTTTTGATTTCGGTTTTAAAATATAGTCAAAAATCAATCTCCGCCTTGCTATATACATTTTATATAGGAAATCTTTAAGACTACAGTTTTTCATGCCACAAAGCAAATCGGAGCTGATTTGAACAGATTTAAACAGCTGATTTAAAGAAAAGACAGTAGATCTTTTAATTTTAAGTAGTACCCTACACTAGTAACTTGTTAATTGAAGCATCCATTTAAAACTTTGAACATTATACTTTGATGAAATTTCTTAAAAAAAAAAAATAAATCAATGGTATCAATTGGCGGTTTAAATCCCCTTGTTTTCATCATCTTTAATTAAACTATAGAAATAATCGATAATTCAATAGAGCAATATTTATAATAAGTACCAATATTTTGAGCATTTACAAGTATTTTTGAATCTAAATATAGAGTATGCTTTGAAATCCTACATATTAAACGAAAATAGAAAATTAACAACAGTAAAAAATCAATTTTTCTCATTTCAGAAATACAAAGTGCACTTGAAAAATAAAAATTTTCTATATACAACTGGATATGTTTATACATTCACATATGTGTACATATTAAGTTCAAATACAAGAGTACACATGTGGTGAAGAAATTCAAATGGGATATGGGGTACATGAATTTTTCTGACAAAAACACTAATAACCACAACATGTACTAGTTAATTTTAACAAAAAAAATAACATACATTTTAATATACATGTTCATATACCATATAAAAAGAATGGTAAAGGAAATCATAGTACACAATTCTAATAATTGCAATCTAAAAGAAAGAGATGCAATGGAATTTAAAAGGATAAATATTATACAAATCAGTTTTTAACTTTTTTTTTACAATAGATTTAAGTAGGATTATAGGAATTATAGATTATTTGGTTGGGCGACCTCATTATATGGTAAGAACCAATATACAATTGGTTTCTGTTATGAATTGTTTAACACCAAAAAATTAAATGTAGTTATAAAATCAGTGAATTATTATTTTGCGTTGTTGCTAGTAGAACAAATTTAAAGAGTGTAGTTTCTAGTCTTTGAGTTCTAAATTTATTATAAAATTATTTTAGAAATTTAAACATTTTATTAGTAAATACCAATTAAAATTGTCATTACAGTTTATTGGAGAATTATTAATCAAAATTTAATTTATACTAAAAATACCATATATGAGATATAAATGTGAAAAATTATTAATTTCTGTTAAGGAATATAATTTTGACTGCTATTAATTTGACTCTATTTTAATAATACATCCTAGATTTCAGTAGATGCTTGAGATTAGTTTTGTCTTAAATATTAATAAAGGTACTTATGATATAAAGGAAGTGTTTGAAGTTAGAAAATATGATTATAACCCTAAAACTAACAATGTATAAAACTATTCATAGTTTAAAGAGCTCCTTATTAAAAAATTTATAAATTATTTTAATGGGATTCAGATTTTTTTTTTAATTTTGAAAATTTATAGTATTATAATTTTGTATTCTATTTACAATTTCTTTTATCACTTAAAACTAAAACTTATTTTAAAAGTTTTCGAAAATTTTAATGAAAATATTATTGTTTCCTATACAATTTACATGTAAATTCTAAAGAACAACATATGCTCAGAGTTCTTAAACTGAGTAAAAATAAACTTATATTTTTAAAATAATTTAAAATTTTTCATAAAATTTTTACAAAATTTGTAACTTATGAAAGAATTTATTGAAAACAGAAGTATACTAAATAATTTCTGATGGTATTATTCCCTAAGAAGCAAGGATATATATCTTAACAAATCATTGATATTGAATATCTTTTAAATATTTAAATTGGAGAATTTCATTTTAAATTATTACAATTAAATTCTAGAAAAATATTAAGAATTATATTCAATTTTAAGGCATTATAATAAATAACATAAAAAATGTCTTAAAAATCCTGTGTTTTGGCATTGAATTTAAAAATTTTGTAAAGAAAAAGTATATTAATATTAAAAATTTACAATGATATTTTCAAAGCAGATACTCTATACTCTATAGTTTATAAAATGATATTGTAATCAAACTAACAATAACAAATTATACAAAATACAAAAATAATACAAAAATTAATTTAATTTTATTTAAAATTATTGATTCAATCTATTATTTATGAATTAAAATTTTAAATATAGAATTTAGAATTTAATTATATTTAAACTCATTAACTTATTATTAATCACATAAAATAATAAAAATTTTAATAATTTCTTACATTTCGAAAAATTTCATCTTTTAAAATTTAAATTTTAATAAAATCAATCGTTTCTGGATGAAAAATATGAACATTTTCAGTATAGCAATGTGAAATACTACTGAGATTTTCATTATAAAAGCAAAATTATTTTTTAATTATATTTAAATTTAACAAAAAAAAAAACATTATTTTACATTTAATTACAATAAAATTGTTTTAAAATTTTTTTCAAATTAGACAACAATTTTGTTAACCCGCTGACTTTTATACATAAATTTTTCCTTTTTCTTTAATAAAAATATTTTTATAAATGAAAATTTTTTCTTGTGATAATTGTAATATTTTAATATTAAAATTATTATTTATTCTTTTAAAGAGTTTTTTCTTTTATTTTATTTTAAAAAATATTTCTTTTTTTTATGTAAATGGTTGTCCATTTCAGTGAAATGAACCTTTCTTTTATAATTTATTTTTTCAAAAGATATTTATAAATAAATTCCAACTTTTTTAACAAAAAAATTTCATTCATAGCTTTGCTGATTTTTATTACTTTTAAAAGCAGTACAAAAATTTAGTATGAATTTTTTTTTTGTTTTATAAAAGTTCCTGATTTTTTAATATATTTTCCTTTTCGGAATATTCGTAATTTTTTCGAAATTATCTTTTATTCAAAAATAAATTTTGTATTGAGTGTGCATTTGTAATTACCAAGAAAACTCTTTTAAATAAAAGGCAAAAATAAAGTTATTTAAAAATCATTTGAGTTATATGAAAATTTCATTATTATTATAAGTAATTACTTAAAAATTAAGTTTACTGAAAATAATATACTTATCTACTTATTAATTTATAATATAAAAACAAATATTTGCAATGAAAATTAAATTATTATATTTTGAATTTAATTCTTAGAAGGTTTGAGAATTATTTGGAAAATATTGTTTGTTATTAATTATTATAAAAAGCATTATATAAGAATAAAATTTATTCCTCATTTTCTTCTCAATCGGCGAGTAAGAAAGTGAGATACAGAATGACGCTTTAATTCTATGTTAATAATATTCAAGATTTTTGTCTATCTTATCTAAATTATTATAAAAACGAAATTTTAGCCATTCACAACTCTGAATTTTAATAAAAATACTTAAATAATCTTAATTACAATTAGTATTATTTATGGTGTCATCATGTACTCACAATGTTTTACCAATTTCTTTATAAGTATCCAAATTATTTGAATTGAGATCGATTGCTTTTTGAAAACTTTTAATTGCTGCAAATAAATCACCTTCTTTTCGTTCAATCAAACCCTAAAATAAAAAAGAAGAAAACAATTTATTAGAAAATTTTCAATTTAAAACAAAAATATCAAAAACAATTTATAATGATTGTGTTTGATAGAAATTCGAAAAAAAATTATTTTTAACTTATAGTTATTAATGCAAACGTATGGGACCATTATATTTTGTTTTGGGAGTACTATTAATTCTTGAACATTCTGTATACTACATACTCTATTTATACCTCTGTATTCTGTACAGAATTTTTCATTGACATTCTTTTTTAACAACAAATTAATATTCTTTTGAAATGGTGCATATGTAGTTTAATAGAGACTTCCTAACTCAAAATTCTGAGACATTATCTCTGCTTTTCTCATGTTCCAGTGTTTGAAACATTTAACTTTTCAATTTTTAATGTAGAATTCATTTATTTTTCATATTACACGTAAAATTATCCAACCTTGAATTCACAAATAAACAAAAAAATTTAGAATTTCCAAAAAAAAAAATTTTTTTTTCTATCGAAAAATGGAGACATTTCTTTTTCCGAGAGAAAAATACTTTGTAACTTTCAAGTGTGTGTGAAACTTTTTCAAAAAATTTTTATAAAAAAAAAAAACGAAAATTGAAAAATTTTGTCCTTTTTTTTTTGCTTGTGACCAAACCGAATTTTATAATAGTATTGAACTCACAAGAGAGTTATTGAATGAATACGTTGCTCATATTTCAATATTTTAGATCTTATTTGAAATTAAAACATTAAAAAAGTAAGTAGATACAAGGAATTTATTGAAGATATAGGTCCTTTACTATAGTAAATTACATTAGCAACTGTTGTATAAACATAGATATATGCACATTATACTCTTATTAACTTGTTCTTTTTACTTTTATAGACCATGTCAAACAAGGACAAAAATTAGTTATGGTTCTAGCTAATATCATGCCTTACAACTAAACTGAAATTAAAAATTTTGTTAATAAATAGATTAATTTAGTAAATGAATATTATAACCTATTGAAGATTGTGATTATAAAAAAAATTTCCAAAGTTTGTTAATTTTTAACGAAGTCCGTGTTCTGTTTTTTAACTGTGCAATAATCTGCGAGAGCTGAAGTACCTAAATATACAAAGACTTGTATAATAAGTTTAACTTGAAATTTAATAAAAAAAGAAAGAGTTTTATAATAACAGATCGTAAATATAGCAAATCAAACGTTAAGATTACGCCCTACAAGACATATTTAGTTAGAACTAATGAAGAAAACGCCACGTGTATGTAAGCGGTTCGCTAACACCGATTATAACCTTAACGTTTCAAAACTGCTCTATATACTTAAAAATATTCAAAATTATTTTTTATCTTTGATCTAAGAAACGTAAAAAAAAAACATTTTTTTTTTCAAGCTGAGAAATTAGAGTTGACTGAATTAAAAAAAAGGACTACTACATTTTTCATATAAATATACAAGGACAAAAAAAAAAAAAAGGATGTAATGTAGTAACAAAAAAAACGAAATATGTATTAAAAAAAAAAAACACACAAATTGTATAGAAAAAAAATATTCACAAGGTCATCGCATCTCAAAAAAAATATTTTACAAAGTGACTCTTCCTTCTCTAAAGAGAACTTCTAACAAAAACATTATGTCTTAGAGATTATAATTGACCTAGAAATTGAAAACCAAAACAAAATCCTTTCAAATACATATATGACAATTGTAGAATCATTCAAAGATAATTTAAAAAGGAATTCATGAATTTTATTTAGTAATATTCTTAGAAATAAAATAATATCAAAATAATACAATTGTATGGATTTTGTTTCTTTTATTGTAAGTTCCAAAATAATATTATATGTACTTGAATTATTTACAAAAACAGATTAGCATAAAATTAAATAAAAAATATTTTAAATAATATTTTTTGTTAAACTCTTAAAAATTATGTTTTGTGTAATAAAAGAATCTTGATTTAAATGCATAATATTTTTTAAAATTTGGTAAACATTTCTTTAAAAATAATAATTTCAATTTAAATTCGGCGAATTTATAGATAAAAACTATGTCAGAGTAATAAAAATTTTTTTGTTTATTAATGCTTAAGTGTTTATTGTATTTTATTATTTTATATAGAAATTAATTATTTTTTTAGAAAATTGGTTCTATTCCAAATAAATGAATAAAGAAGAATAATTTTAAAAGGTTGCCTCAAAATGCCTCAAATTAATTAAATTTTTCAAATTACTATTGTCACTTTTTAGTTGTCCTACATTTTACTACCCGCTTAACAGTAGCAGACTATTGAGTAATTAAATTGGCACTAGAGAGTAGTTGCATGTATTTGCAAATACATACGGAAATATTCTACAAAAAATAAAATTGTACTATTATATAAGAACGTTATGAACCTGACAATAATTGCATTCTATACATTTATTCTAGTTCGAATCCGCATGTAGACTTGTAAACAACTCGTTTCCAAAAATGTTATTGAAAACATAATATAAAAATTGTTATTGTGTATATCAATCATTATTTACAAACTGCATTTGAGTCCGATTATTCTCTAGCTTCAGCCTGCAATACACTGATCTAAAAAAAAAAAAACCGTCACATCTTATTTTTTAACATTCTCTTTCCATCTTCCAGTAAAGTCATCTTGAATTCTTTAGAAAAATTTAATATTTTATTATTTTTTCCTTTTTTTCAACAAATCAAAATATCAAAAACATGCAAATATTTTTATTATTTTTTAAATATTTTATTTGTTTACTTCGTATGCGAGGAATCTGATATTTGCTTAGAAAATTTTTTTGAAACCCTTACTACGTTACATCATTAATTGATTTCATTAAAGTGAAATTACTGGATTAGGAATTAGATGGATTCGTTTCTACTATTAAATTACTTTTCTAATAACATTCGTTCCTATTTCGATTAAATCGCTCAAATTAATTTAAAATATTTAATTAAATTAAAATTTTATAAAAATCAATATTGAATGTAAAAATTAATGAAATAATTTTAAGCAACACTAAAAATGTACAAAATATTTTGAGTGTTTCATCCAACTGAACATCAAATTTTTATCAAATTTAATTTTAATAATTTGGTTACTACTAAACCACCACAAATAATAATTAAAAGTTTTTCACGAGAAATTAAGTTGTATAACCACATTTAAAATAATTAATTAAATATTTTTGATTTCCAAAAAATTTCCACAAATTTCCTTATTTATTAGAATAGTTTCCTATTGTTTGATATTTTATGTTTAATTTCATATTTTCCTAGACTCATTTCCGTGTTCATTTTGGCCATTACAAATCACTAAAAGACAATAAAATGTAAATTAATATATAAAAGCATTAAGGAAATAAAATAATATTTTTCATTTTAATCCACTAAAATTCAAATAAAATCAGAAATATTTTTAAATCAAAATTGAATTCTCATAAATTTAATTGTTATAAAATTCCTACATACACTCTTTTGTATTTAATATTTGCGTAGGACCAAAGTTAAATATTTTAAATTAATTAAAATAAAAGAGATTTTAAATTTAAATAAATTTTCTAATTAATTTACGTACGTTATGTGCATACACAATACAATTCTAAAATAAGATTCTTATGAAAATTTAAAATGTCAGAAAAGCTTTGTTTCTTTACTTTGTAAAATTATTGTTAATAAAAGGCGGAATTGTGTTTTTTGTTTTATAATCAAATTTCATATTAATTTTAAAAATATTTTAACCAAAATAAATTCTTTTAAAATAATAAAATAAAATATCTTCCTAGATCCTACATATTTTATATGTTTTAATAAAATTTCTAAGAAAAATTTTTTCCACAAACTTTGAAAGAACTTAATTTTTCATATATGAACATATTTGTCAATTAAAACATGACAAAAAAATACAAAATTTAATTAAATTGTACTAACTCTTATATAATAAGGTTTTAATAAACACATATTTTTCTAATATTGTTAATACGCGTGTAATACCTACTCGTAATATAATTAACCATCTGCTCTTAAATATGTTTTCTATGATTTACTGTGAAAATTAATTATTAAATTTAATTACTATGAATCCTCATGCATCATTTTAATAAATTTGCTATATTCTAAAAAATAGAAAGAAATATAAAATATCATTTTGTTATTGATGAATCTATTTTCTATTAAAACCAATTAATTTTTAATTTAAATAAATAATAATGTACTTACATAATTAGAACAAAAAGCAAAACTACACAATTTATTCTACTTATAAATTTGATGACCGAATGGCAGTTTTATAGAAGTAGGATAAACGAAATAGACGATTAACTAAATTCGTTTTCATTGTTTTCTTATAAATATCTTTGAATTTAAAATTTCTGCTTATTGTGTAGAAAAAGTCTACAAAATAAGCAGGAAACGAGATGAAAAAGAAAAATGTCCAAGCATTGAATAGTGTAAAACACATTTCTCTTATAATACAAAAAATTTTACTGATGAAAAATAAAAGTTATTTAAAGGAAGTTTAATAATTAAAAATAAATTATGAAATTGCTGTAAAATAGGATTATAGCTTTTCATTGAGTTCAAATTCTTTTCGTAAATATTCCCCCATATTGTGATTCCATATGTAACAATGCTGTTAAAGATGCTCTAATAAAGTGATGTTTTGTTGCATATTGATATGCGCAAAAATAACGAACAGATAAAGAAGATCGAAATAAGAAATTCGAGCCCTGGCAGCCGAGGGTGTTGATAATATTATTATAATTTATTATATAATGTTATATAAAATAAATAAATAAATAAATAAATAAAGAAATTCGAATACATTACTTATAGACTGAATTTTTCAAAACTCTAAATGAGAATTTGTATTGTAATATTATAAATGGATTAAAATGTATTCGTCCTATAACTTCATCTATGATTTACATTACTTTTACAATTCCATATCAATCTAATAAATCTGTATTTACTTAATTTTATTGTTTACTTAAGTATCCTAGAGTTTCCAACATTTCAACTAAACTAAATTATTTTTATCATATTTCAATTCTATTTATATTTTATATGTTTTATACATGTACCTCTTTATAATTTTTAAATAAGAATTTCTAGTCTAGACCTTTGATTGGTATTTCTTTGCACTTTCAATGTGACGTCATTAAGTGATAAAATAAATATTACATATGTATAAATATAACATAACATACATAAATTTGATTTCAAATTTCTATATACTTCCATAATTGTATATAACTATTATTCTTTCCAGTTCTCATATATCAAAAAATATCATATTTCGGTTCACTTACGTATATCAATAAATTTTTCATGAAAACTTTCTTACTCATTATAACTTTAGAATGATTTATAAAACTAAACCAATAAATAACTGAAAAGAAAAATCAAAAACTTAATGATGTGGTCAATTCATAATCGATAGATCTATCTTACAAAACAATTCTTCTTGGATTTACAAAATAATTCTGGTATACAAGGAGACAATTTACAGGGAATTGAGTTAAAATTATAAGTTGAACTGGAGATCGAGGTAATTTGACCGGTTTTCATAATTGAATAAAGCAAATAAAAAATTAAAACATTTTTTGCTCGAGTGATTTTAATCCTTGTTTTCTTTCTAATATAAACCAAATAATGGAAAACTAAAATAGAAGATCTTACAAACCTGATAATAGAAAACAATTCAATTCTTATAAAATGTGGCACGAAAACAAGACTTGCTTTACTATAAAACTACATGGTCGATAAAAAATTATGTGCAACATACGTTATCAACTACCAATTGCATCAACAACAGTTATAACACTGTTAAATAATAAAATATTATAAAACTTTTATATAATTTTAAGTAAGGTTACAAAAACCTTGTATACAAGGATACACTTACATACATGGGAAAAAAATTAATAAATTTTCTTCTCTTTTATTTTCTATCAAAACTTTAAATAATCTAGAGACTGTCAACTCAACAAATAAATAATAAAAATGTCTTTAAAAAGAAAAAAATAAAATGTTAAGATTTTTTTTTTCATATTTTATTTCTATACAAAACAAAATACCTATCTACATACTTACTTACATACTTATATATGTAATCATAACTATTATATAATTAGATTAATACAAGTTATACACATTTTTTTTTTGTGCAAGTAGTTCACATTCATTATAATTTATCTTCTTTACATTCTTCTATAAATCATAATTTATAATGTGAAAATGTATTTAAAATGCAAAAAGGATTCTTAATTATCTTGCAATTAAATTGTGTATTAGGAGCGTTAGTTTAATTTTTGATGTACCAACCTATGTAAGCATGTATGAGTATGTACATAAGTTCCCACATGTAAAGTAAAAGTGAAAAATTAATTTACACAAGTTTCAAGAGCCTGTCTGGTATGATATATGTATTTTTATATTAATTAGGTTTTGCTTTAAATCAAGGATAAAATTTTTAAGTTTTATTTTACTTGATAACAGCTCTTAATATATAAAATTTAAGATTTTATACATTGCATTACTTACTATGTACCTAACTATACTTTAGAGATCATTATCATATTAAATAGATTTTAGATATTATTCAAGGACAAAACTGTACAAGAAACCCCATAATAGATTTTAATAATATTTAATGATAAAGATTTCTAAAAGATTTTTGAATGAGTTGAAAGGTACCTACATATTATATCAAAAATACATGAGCATGAATTGCAAGGTAATGAAATATCAAAAATAATTTTGATAATTTAATTAATATTATTTAGAAATATTAAATAGTGTAATGCAACTATATTCCTACTTAATTACTTAATGTGTAAATCCAAATAAAATTAAATTAGCAATACTAGGATACTTGTACAAATTTGTAAATGAAATTTTTGGTTTCCAACAAGTACCTCCAGTCTATGTATTCCTAATCTATAATGTACTTAGACTTTTAAATATAATTAAAATACATAATTAATTATTTGATTTAAAAATTACAAAGTTGTTTAAACCGAATAATAATTTAGATTTTAAAATTAATTGTAATTATGGACTTTAAATTTTTGTGTTATAAGTAATGTGCCTTGAATGTACGTTATACGGAAACGCGTTACGAATAAAATTTTAAAAACCAGGAACAGAAAATTAATTAGACAGGGACATATTTCAAAATCCTACTTTTGTATTTAAAAATCGGTATGAAAATCCAGCTACAAAATTTACTGATCACGCAGATATTAACTACCGCCAACCACCTACGAATTATTTGTTAGGTTAGATCTTGAATTTGAATATATTATGTATTTGATTTTGAATTGGCATTCGAAATGTGGGCGAATCTTCAGGTACTTAAATAAGTTTTCTGAAGAAAAGAATTTTCCTAAAAAACTATGATCATTTTTCGGTTCTATTCTACCAGCGTCTATTCTACTTATTTGATTTGTGTAATAAGTTATTAACAACATACCAAATCAATGTACAGGTGCACCTACCTATGTAGCTGTAACATATGTACATAATGCAATCGCACAAGTTCATTTAAGTATTGTACGATTTAAAAAATGTTAAGCTAAAAAAACTTTAAAAATCCAATTTAATTTGACTTAGCCTAATGATAGAACTTACCCGTACAAAATATAAATAATCAGCATTAATATTTTCAACTAATTGACGTTCTATTAAAACCCGGCACATATCAAAATCTTGACGAGCATAATAAATGTGAAGTAACCAATTTAAATTCTCAGTTTGAACAAATGGTTTTTCAACTAAAAAAAAAAATACATCATATTACGCATTTGGAAATTTGTGCAAAATAAAATATCACAAACCTTTTTTTACAACTTCTAATGATGGCAAATTTGGTGTCTTCCCATTACAATAAGGATCAGCCATTTTTTATTTGTGAGAATAAAAGATTTTATAGGAATTATTTTATTTTGAGTGTCTTTTAAATAAGTTATAAGCACTTTCAAATCCAAATTATCTAATGACTTCTTCAGAATCAGAAGGTACGAAGCTAAAATCTTTTTTGTTTTGAACTGCTTACACCATGGTAACCGAGTAATCAATGCAAATTCTAATAAAAAATTAGTTTTTTAATCAAATTCGCAAGTGTTTTAATAACATTTCGTGTTTTTGAAAATAAATTTCTTAAAAAAAGATTTCACAAATTCGTTTCTACATTTGCTAATTTAAAAATAATAAAATAAGAAATTAAATACTAACATTTTTGTAAATTTTTGGCTCCATAACTGTAATAAATACAAATATTCAGTTGTCAAGTAAATAAATTTGCGACATCTAGCATATATTAGGAAATACTTCAAAAAATTCCATATATATCTAGTTAACCTATTAAACACTAGATGACATATGAATGATTTTGACATTTAGGTTATTATTTATGAAGTATCAAAATAATAAAACACTAAAAATTTAATCGATTTTTATGCTATATTTAGTAATGCCAGTACATCGGAAAAATTTTATTGCCTCAATAATATGTTTCCACTTTTATTTGCATATATAAAAAATATTATAAAATATATATAATCAACTGTATAAAATATGAAATTTTTTTTCGGTTGTTTTTCAAGTTCATTAATTGTATAAGTCTATAATCAAACGACGGAACTAAAAACGTATTATTCATATATTTCAAAACACCAAAAAAAACTTTTTTACTTTCAATTTTTTTAATTCTTGGGCCCCTTCAACAGACCGAATTTAATTTTAATTATTTTATTGAAAAGTAATATACTTTGTCTAGTGGATGTGTCTTGCTTTTTTTTTAACAAAAAATACATATTTTTTAATTTTATATTTTATTTTAAAATAATAGTTTGACGTTGTCAAAAAACAGCTTAGGTATTTGTCAACCAAAATATTTTAAAATTAACTTAAAGCTTATTATTTTTTAAAATAAATTTATGAAGAGGCTCATTTTGTTAATTTAATTCTTAAAAAATATTTTATTTTCCCGTTGAAGCATAATTTTTTTCAATTACGTTGGTATTATGTGATTAGTGATTTGACACAAAATTTTGTGTATAAATTATTACTTTTAAAATTTGATTATTCTCTACTATTTCCATACAAAATAATTTTTATATAGAAAGTACATTATACGAACAACAAAATAATGACAGTTATAGAAAATTACAAGTGTAATGCATTGTATTTTATTGTATAAATAATTAAATATAAACAAAAAAAAAAAAATCATTTTCTGAAATTCCAAAAATTTTGGAAAAACCTAAAAATTTTTTCATGTCATTAGCAATTATTTTACAATATTCCCAATTAATAAATAGGTATCTACATTTTTATTTTTATTATGACATTATAGTAATGCCATACTATTAAAAAAAATCTTTCATATACAAAACAAATTTGTAAGAAAAAGACAACTCTATATAAATCTTTCATTTTATAAAATCTTTTTTTTGTTCCTTTTTTTTATGATTTTTTTTTTCTTTTCATTTAAATTTTTGTTTTTCTTTTTTGAAAGAGACCAGCACCAGTCAGACAATGTCAATTTTTTCAACTTTGTAGTCAAAGTCAAGATTTTGTTAAATAGAAAAAAAAAGAGGAAATTTTTTTTTTGGAAAATTTTAAATCTTTTATACAAGAAAAAAAAATTGATGGCATTTTAATGCCTATAAATTACTTGGTGAAAGCATACTAAAAATTAAAAAGTTTTTTTTTTTCTTATTATTTATAAATGAAAAATAAAATTTTAAAATAATTTTATTTAAGCATTAAAAAAAAAAAAAGAAAAAATTATCCAAAAAGAATACGAAAATATAAAAAGCAACAACAAAAGAAAAAAAAAATTAAAATAAAAAGATTCCAATGTATTGCAGTGGATCAAGAGAATTTGCGTCCATTTTACGAATGTATTAAACGAAGAAGAAGAAAATTTTTCTCTGGATAACATAAAAAATAAAAATAAAAAAAAAATAAATGTGCACCAATTCGTGTTCTCTGATATTTTCTTTTTTTTTATAATATTACAAATTTTTAAAATTTAAAAATTAAATACAAGTTTTTTTTTAAAAAATATTGTGAAAAATATATTTGAAAAAGAAAAAAAATTCTCCATTTCATACACACACAAACACGAGTTTTCAATATAAAACAAAAATAATATACAAGAGAGAAAAAAGTATTTTTTTTTTTTTTTTGTAATATATGAAAAAATAAATACATAAAAGTAATAAAGTGAAATATTTGAATTAAATAAAAAATATTATTTATAAATTTTAATATAGAAAATTGATTTTTAATATTCTTTTAATAAACAAGTAAGGAAAAAAAAAGAAAGGAAAAAAATACAATCATAATAAAATGGCATTGCCTGTGTAAAGTTATTTAACCTGATAAAATATCCTAATAAATATATATATATACATATATATGTAATATTGTATATATAAAATATATATATACTACCTAATAAATATAATATAGACTTAAAGACTCTATATATATAAAAAAAATTTCAAGTTATTGTTTTTATTTTTTTTTTGTATTCTCCGATTTCGGTTCTTAAATTTTTTTTTTGACATGAGAATTTTTACATTTAGCCATATAAGGGTTAAAAGTATTAAAAGATTGTCACAATTACAAAAGTAACAAACAAGTTTTAAAATATCGGTGGAACTTCAATTAAAATTTAAAACTATTTTTAAAAAAAAAAAAAGAAATAATTTTATATAAGGTATAATTCCTTACCTTTATTTATTCATCACATATTATAAATTGCAAAACATATAAGTAAAACGAAAAAAAAAAATTAAATAATCTATGCCTATTTACATATATACCTAGGTACTACTTTCATATATATACACAAGTACATACCTACCTAACAATATTAAATGAAAATTTTTCAATAAAATTTTTATTAGCATAATTTTTAAGTTCCCACAATTTAAAATATAAATAATAATTGAATATATATTAAAAAAAAAAAAAAATTTTATAAATTAGAAAATTTAAAATAATAAAAAAAAAAAATAGGAAAAAATGACACAACACAAAGAACAACAGCAACAACAGAAACAACATAGAGAAGCAAATATGTACCACCGAATATTTTCGAAAAGAATATTAACATATGCATTACTATTTGGATTAATAATGGTAACCAATGCTACAACTGATGAGGTAAGTGAAAAACATATATATATATATATTATATTATAATTATATTTAACCTAGAATTTTTGTTTTGGGCTTAGCTAACACTAGCATTTATTTATATTTTCCTACCTACCCATATATTTTTTTTTAAATCTACTTTTATTCATAAATTTAATTCATAATATTTCAGGTTTTTCTTAAATTATTTTTTTTTTTTTATAAAACGATAGTTAGTAGGTATATTTGCTGTATGCATACGCAAGCATCAATAGAAGCATATATACATGCATATATATATATATATATATATATATGTATATATATATCTATGTAGGTATATATTCCTACCTACATCTGTAAATAGCTGTCATTGATCAATCAAAATATTAATATTGTTACCTGAATTTTTACTTAAGTATAAGTATTATAATAGTAATTAATTTACATATTTACCTGTGTCTACATTTTGTATTATATATAGGTAGGTAAATATGTAGATGATTTTTATTTATATATTAAACATATTTATTTAAATATATAATTATATTACCAGTATTAGTATAATATTGTAAACTGCTTAACTTAATCAAAATTAATAAAAAATTGAGAGAAAAATGAGAGAAAAATCAGTTTTTAATTAATTAATTAATTGATTAAGCATAATATATCTGTAAAATACCTACTCAATTAACAATTTTCGAAATTACAACATTTTTGTAAATCATAAAATTTAAAATATTTAAGTAATTTTTATCAATTTTTGTTAAATCAAACTCATTTATTTTGTATACCATATGGAATTTGTAATTTTACAATATTTTTCATGCTTGTTATATATTAATGTATAACATACAGAAATAAAAGATATAAGTATATATATATGTATATATACAAATATGTGGATATAATTTATACTTACGTTAGTACTTAGTCTGATCTAATACTCTGGCAAATAAATAAGACTTACCTACTTACTTACAATATTGCTATAGTTTAATTAATTATTTTAAATGAATTAAATTAATATTTTTATTAAAATAGTTTGATACTATTCATTCATTATATTAAATTCGGTTTATTATTTAATTTAATAAAATTACGGTGAAAGTAAAAACAATTTTTCATTCATAAAATTACAAAAAATAGAAAAAGAATGAACATTGTACAGGTATTAAAAATTTTTAAAAGAGCGCATAGGTACTTAAACTATTTCATAGTAAAATTATAAAATGCAACATAATGTGCAATATACTAAACTTATATATATATGTATATATATACTTAAATTACTTTACACATTAATCTACCTACATAATATTCGAATTATATTATGACATTTTAATATTTCATTCTTTAACTATATCTATTACCATCGCATATAATGTAAAAAAAATTTGTAATAAAAAGAACAGAGAAAATAATAGAACAATGTACCGTATCTCTACCTACCTACCTTGCATATTTGGTTACAAAAAGAATAAGAAAGAAAAAAAAATATATTTTTGAGTACTAAATGATTTTTTAACACCTTTCAAAAATGCAAATTAAGTATGTACTAAAAAACAAAATTTCATATAATGAAAAAGTATTTCATACTTACTTAATGAATTTAAAATGAAAGTATTTTACGAGTATAACACAATACTTAGTTAAGGTATTTTTATTATTTAACTATTTTTCATGTATAAATGAAAATAGACAATAAAATTTTTAATTTATTTTTTTATTATTTGGAAGTTTTAATTTCCTTTTCTTTAGAATATATCAATTATTTTGCAAATATATATATATATATACGTATGGGTGGTATATGTATATACTAAAGTATATAATATAAAATATTATTATAAAAGTGGGTAAATAAGTGTTATACTTACACCTTTTATACATTTAATATTAAAAATAATAATATAATTCGCATTCAATTGTGAAAATATATTGTATAACTACTATTTATTATATGTATATATATATATACTTGAGTATATTGATATGTATGTACATATTCTTAAATTATTATAATAACATATTGATTATGTACATTACGTATTTAATCAATGAATAAGATTACTCAATATATAATTTGAAAAATTTTAGTTAGATGATAAATAATTTAAAAGAATGAGAGTGTTAATCAAAGATTTTAAGATTCTTAAATTGTTTATTATAGAACCATCTATCAAATGCAATATGTTGAGGCTAATTATTATATTGAAGTTGAAATTCTAAATATTGAAGATCAATTGAATAGTGCAATGTGATTTTGTTGAATTCATTCAATACTTAGGTTTGGTTTTTTATGTTATTTTTAAAAATTTAGGATTTTTCTTTGTTTAGGATAGGATTTTCTTTGTTTTGCAATTAAATTAAATTTAAAATTAATTGTTTTTCAGTAATTTTTAAATTAAATTATTGCTAAAATTAAAAATTATAAATTTTTACCAACTTATTTCAATTAGGCATTTGTGTTAAAATTTGTTCAGTATTTTGTGTTCGAAAATTTTTATTTCATTATTTTCATACTGTTTTACATCACAATATCTAATCCATTCTTGTCAAAGATTATCAATTTAAATAAGTAAGTATTACTATTGTAGAAGTATATATAGTTTATAGTGATATACAAAAGACAATTTTTGTAATTACGCAACAGAATTTATTTGAGTACTACTATTTTATATTAAAAAATTTAACATTCACTAGCGCACCTCAAAAGTAGGTAGTTCATTGGGTAATTACAAAAATTGTCTTCTATCTGTTACTATAAACTATAAACAATGATATTACTTATGTATTTTAATGTTTAAAGCAATTAATCACGATTTTCTTCAAGTTTGTGAAAATAAAATAATTACTTACTTAGTTACTTAAAGAGTAGTAATAAAAAGTAGTAATTGCAACGCACCGAACGAACAACTTTTATAATTTAAAACTAGTTACGATTATTGAAATTAAATCCTTCATTAAAATACGTATAAGTAGTTGCAGTATTCTAAAACTTATTAAATGTGGTTATTTGCAAAGGAAGAACTACTTATTTACTTACTTACATTTTACATTTTCTTAAATTAAAAAGCTAATCGAAATATATCAGAAGCAAAATCGAACCACAATATATTTAAAATTCAATTCAATTTAAACAATTTCTAATAAATACATATATATATATATATATATATATATATATAGGGATAAATATTCTATTTTTGTTTTTCTTTATTTTGGTTTTGTTTAATTTATATGTAAATATACTAAATATACGTATACATATATTTAATACAAGTAGTAAATATTCTAGTCTAACTATATTAATTTTAAACAATAGATAGTTAAACAAATATGATATAAGTAAAGGTGGTTAAGTTCATATACAACCCAACTATTTATATTTTTATGCACAAATATACATACATATAATAAATATGTGCTAATGCATAGTGTATTGGAACTGTTATATTTAAACCATAAGTAAAGCAAATATTACATACATTATAATACATGGTTAGATTATAATAATTGTGTATCTAGTAAATTCATGTTATATAACACAATATTAGAGAAAAAGTATAACATTATACTTAATTGTTTACATATATATTCACACATATATTTTTAATACTTATACATACCGTATAACATATTTATTTATTTAGGTACATGTGAATGTAAAAATATTTTTAGATATAATATTTGTGTATATAACAAATATATAAGTATATATATACATTTTTTTTTGTAATTGATTCTATAAACAATTTATATAGATTTTTACGGCTGCTGCTGTTCCATAAAAACAAAACAAAAAAAGAGAAAAAGTGAAAAAGGATGTTTTATCCACCATATTCAGACTTTACTTTTATTTTATATTTTTGCTGTTGTTGCTACTTGCTTTTGTTTCTTCATTCTTTTTAATATTATTATTATTTCTTTCAACTTATATACACAAACAAATATCATACACACGAGTAAGTGAGATATAAAACGATAGTACTGCTGAAACTGATCAAATCCCCATGTTGTATTTTTTTTTTTGTATTTTATAATTTTGATGGTGTATTGTTTTTAAAAACTAAAAGAAACAAGAAAAAAATAAAATTTAAGAATTGGTTTTTCGATTCTTATATATTTTTTATTCAGAAATTTTCTTCTAATGCTATCAAAGGTAAGCATTAGTAGTAAAAATGTTTTGATGATTTTAATAGGAAAAAAAAATGTACACGGGGCTATAATAGCCATAATAGTATAAAAAAAAGAATTTGATATAAATAAACAAATAAAATATAGAATGTTATAATGTAAGTGTTAGAATAAATATATTATATAATATGTATATGTTATGTATGTAGTTATAATGTGTCAAAATAAATGAATATTGCCCGGTTATAAAAACAAAACATTCTCTCAATTCATTAAATTTTATAAAATCTAAATAGGTAGACATATGCAGTCGAATCTGCATATAAAAAATTTCACGACTTTCGTTTGCTTACATCCGGTTTTTCTTATATATAAATGAAAAAAATGAATTACATAAAAATAGTATAAAAAATTTGGAAAACCAATTTTGCTATGTCAATATTTAAGGGGTTTTGATTTTATGCGAGTTCATTATATATGGGTTCGATTGTATGTACATACAATTTTTGTTATAGAATATAAATTTAAGTTTATTTAAGTATATGGAATATTGTAGATCTGATAAGAATTAAATTGCAAACTGTCAAATATATTATATAAGTTACAATATAACAGTTAACACAAATAAGTTTATTCAAATGTTTACACATTATATACTTATACTAACAGGTTTTTCATACAATATCACTTTGAAGTTCCTTCCATGACTTCAATCCGTGTATGACACGAATTGTCAATTAGAAAATTTTCGGACATAAATGACGTTTCCATTAGGAATTAATAAAGTTGGCGTCTTGTACTTAAAGTGTCATAAAAAAATTTTAATATCACTTTTTGCTATCATCACTTGATTGGAATTATGTGAACAAGTTAAATGCCTATAAGTA